TGGAACCCCCACCTACAGGAAAAGGGAGGACCGGGCTGGTACAATGCCTGGGCGGGACGGGGGCTGGCGGGGCAGCACGCTGCCCGGCTGGCAGAGAGGTGTGGAAGTGCCCTCAGTTTCCCACCTGCGGGGACCATCGCTGCTGCCTGCGGTCACCTGCAAAATGCATTTCACAGGAGGCGCGATCCCTGCAGACAGTGCCTAGCCCACCCGCAAAGCCTCGCACGTGCTTCAAGAAGACGCCTGCAAGGGCCAGCAACCACGATGGACCTCTGCTCTTGCTTTACCCCAAAGGCTCGTTCCCTGTGCTGTCAGATTTCTGACTCACTTTGATTTATTTTCATTTTGTCTAAATCCAGCGTGTAATCCCGGGTTCTTGCTCTGCCTTTTGCTGTCAGATCGGAGGGCAACACACCCACGTCACCTTTTCCAGCACATGGCTTTTGATTATGTCACTGCTTCATTTTCATCTGGACACACCAAAATGAGCTAATGAATCACTGGGAGAGCTGCCACATCAAACACAGGCAGGCAGCCATGCTGGAAGAAAGGAGGGCTCTGGCAGATGCGAGCTGCGTCCTGTCAGGCCTCTCCCCATCCCCTACGTCCGTCTGTCCTGGCCAGCTCCCCCCATCTTGGCACATGCTCTGTCCCCAGCTCAGCTCTTGCTCTGATTTCCCCAGCATCACCCCTCACCCAGCACTGATTTTGCACCACCAAATCCCTGCTTTGCCTTATTCCAACATCTTACCCCGAGCCCCCACCTGCAGGCAGCCCACGTGAGGCTGCACAGCCAGACCACCATGTCCATGCTTAGGCAGCCCAGCCTGAAGCTGTTTCACGTGTTCCTCCTGCGCAGGCAGGGGAGCAGGCAGCTGCCTGCCTGCAGAGCCCGGTTACCCCAAGCTGGGCTCTGCTTCGGGTCTCAGGGTGACTGAAGGCATTCAGGACAGGGAAGGTCACTGCAGAGGTTTCCTTGGCCATTACAGAGAGCAGAGCATCTTTGTATTGTGGTTTGAGTCCCACCAGCCACATCATCTTCATCTTCGTATCCATCAGGCAGCCTCCAGCAACCCTGCAGCTGCCATTGCTGTCCTGCACACATCTTGCCCCCCTTCTCCTGCCTTTCCAGGCACCCCAGCACCCCTATCCTATTCCCATCCATCTCTGCTCCCCTCACTGTCCTCCTGACAGCTCTGACTTTCCCAGGTCAGGCTCTCCATTGCCTGCATCGCCTCCCAGTTCCCTGCTTTCATCACTTTTCTTTATTATGGTAAATTTTAATGCCACTGGGAACAGCAAAGCAAAACCACGCCAGTGCTGACCAGCCGTTTTGCCCCGGGTGGGTTAGTGCCACCGCTCAGCACGCCCGGAGGAAGGGCCAGTGCAGCTCAGCCGTGGTGGGGGGTGGCAGGAGACCCGGTGCTATTCCTGGGCTTGGCCCCAGCTCCAGGTGACCTTTGCCAAGTCATTTCCCTGCTTTGTGCTCTCGCTTCCTCCTCAGCTGAGCTCATCCTTCCATTTCCATTTTTTTATGCCTTTCCTTTTCAGAGATGGAGAGGAACAGAAGAACCGCACCAAAATACCACCAAGGAAAGGAAATAAATATTATGCCTAAGAACTGCAGGGGTTCCTCAAAAGCCCTGCCAGACATATCCTTCTTCCCACCGCCTCCCAAGCCATCTGCAGAGCAAGCCAATCGCAGCAGGTGGGCCGTGTTAACCCACCAGTGATGTACCAGGAGATATATACCCACCAACACCAGCACCCACGTGTGCCGGACCCTGCTCAGTGCAGCCCTCACCCCACCAGCCGGAGGGAGGGTGTCCCTCTAGGCTGCTGCAGCCCCAGACCACTCCTTTTTCTCCCCAAAGGCAAGGAGGCAGAGGAGATTTTAAGGACCAGCTTGCTCAGCCACCAGAGGGAAAGGCTGATGTGACAGTCCCGGCGCTGGGAGGAAAAGTCACGGTCACCAAGAAGAGTGCTGTGACCCCCTCCTGAGCACTGTCCCCTCACCATCTGGGCTGTCCCCAGTCTGTCTGTACAGATATTGGCAGTGGTGACAGATCTGGAATGGCCAAGAGAGAGGAGCTGGCGGAACTAATGCATTAATTATTACGATGCTTCAGGAATAAATCCCTATAGACTAGACCTGTGACCCCAAGCCATCAGGACATTAGCAGCTGGGAGGATGGCTGTAGGACGCTGCGAGAGCATTGCTGAGCTGTAAACCACGCAGGCTGTGTCTTGGGGGAAGACAGGCAAAGTAATGCTAACAAAGAAACTAGAACAGAAAAATGAGCTTGAGCTGAGACTTGCCAGAAGCACAGACAATGAAATAAGATCTAAAAACATCTCCTCCTGCTTCCTGTGCACACACAGGCAGGTTCCCAACACGCAGATGCTTCTTCATAGACAATGTTGTATCAACGAACATAAACCTTCTCCCCAGGAGGTTGACTGCACCTAAGCCCTTTCATTTCAAGCTCAAAAAGAGCATCAGTTATATTCAATTATTGCAGTAGCGTTCTTCAGCTCCTGCGTGATGCTATTAGTGCCCGTAGCAGACGTAAATGTCATTTACAAGGTGTGAAAATCTGGCTCCTCTGAAGCTCAGTTCCTCAGCCAGACACAGGGAACAGCCCGGTCTCCCAGGGGTGCAGAGCTGTAGTTCAGGCACCACGCACTCACCGCCCGTCACATGGCAGAAAGCAGCCCGGCCGCGTTATTTCACACTCCACTGCACAGCTGGGCTGTCAAATTTCAAAATTTTGCATTTTGTTTGTCACTTTGGGTTGGCTTGGTAGCACAAGCTGTGCTGCACGTCCCCAGAACGGTGCATAGGGCAACATAAAAATGAGAAGGGAAGAGAATTTTTTTTTCAAATCTAATAATGAAAAACAACACCAAAAGGAGAAGAGTTCAAAATGAGCACGACTGAAGACATACCAAGATTTGGCCTCATTAGGGTGCTCAGGACTTACCGTGTCCTGTGGACCATTCAGGGAAGCAGGACTTGGTCTCTGCTTTATGAGGTGGGAAATGGTGTCTGAGGGTCAGGGCACAGAGGCCATGGACAACAGAACACACCCCGAGGTGGGACGCTCTCTTCCAGGCTCAGCTCCGTACCTCGGAGCTCTGTCCTGAGCAGGAAGACAGCTGCAAAGCCTCGATGGGGCAAGTGAAAGCGTAGCTGCTCCTCAGCCACTGGTGCCCTTACACCCAGGGATCATGCTTTTTTCCCCTCATCTGTCTTGGTTTTCAGCCCTTCAAAGGCAGGCTTTGCTTCTCTAGAAGTGTCACTCCCATTTCAACAGCAAAAATACATTTTCTTCAAGCATCTCTGTGCATTAGGTCTTTCAGGAGCCGAGTGCAGATGTGAGAGGTGACCCAGGACCTGCCCCATCCTCAGCTGCCTGCAGGGACTGGGGAGGCCCTTGGGGGACCTTTTTCAGGAGGAAGGGGATGATTCACCCTCTCCCACCAAACAGCAAGTCCACAAATCATAAGATGGTTTGGGTTGGAAGAGACCTTAAAGCTCATCTGGTTCCAACCCCCCTGCCATGGGCAGGGACACCTTCCACCAGCCCAGGGTGCTCAGAGCCCCGTCCAACCTGTCCTTGAACCCTACCAGGGAGGGGGCAGCCACAGCTTCTCTGGGCAGCCTGGGCCAGGGCCTCACAAACCTGCAAGAGGTGGATGAACCTGCTCTCAGGGGCCCCTGGCTCTCCCTGTGCTCATCCCCTCCATAAAATCAGAAGGTGACACTGAAAGTGACCTCCACATGCCACCTTGCCCAGCCTCCCACCCCCATCAGGTCCCTTGTGTGCTGGCTCACTCAGGATCGCATCCTTCACCACCCAAAGACTTCTCTGCCTCTCCTCACAGCCTCCTCCAGCAATGCCTTCCTCACCCCGGGGAGCCCAGACCACCCCTCCAGACACAAGCTTACCCCCACACTGGGCAGAGGCAGAAGAAACACCCACCCCAGCTCGCTGCCCGCACCCTGCCCAGCATGGCCACAGACCCCCAAGGAGAGGACATCTGACCACCCTCAGGCTTAGCCAGCTCCCAGCACCGGGTGATGCCACAGCCCCCTCATCCTCAGCTGATGCCCCAGATGCCTCCCACAATTTGAGGCAACCCAGCAGCCTCAAGGTCAGAGATTCCCACAGCCCCAGCTGCAAACCCCCTGCTAACTGCTCCTGGGAGCTGTGTGCCTGGGCAGCGGTTATATGGGCGCTCCCGCCCTCAGCAGGTGAACATCCTAATGAGGAGAGAAATTAAAGGACACGCAAGTAATCCCTAATCAGGACAGAGTTAATAGGTGATGCAGCAGCATTTAAAAGCTTCCTAAGGCAGCAGTCTGGCTTTTCCCAAAGCAGCTAACTGCAAAGTCTCTGCCAGCTCCTGCTTGCTGTGCTCCGGGAGCTCCCCTGTGTGGAGGGTATGATAAGGAGAGTTATTGTTGCTCTGTGTTCATAAAAAGATTATTGTTAGGGAGGGGAAGAAAGTTACAAGTGAAAGAAATTGGAACAAGCTCAGTGTTTGAATAGAGAGTAATAATGTTATGATAATTTGCATGCACAGCCTCTACCACTCGAGAGCCCTAACGTATTTTATAAAGTCTTGCGCTGCAAAGAGCAATCCTATAAGCAGATAGCAGTAGAGCTGGCCAAATATAAAAGGGGAATCTGTAAAAATGACATTTCATTGTGTCGGAGAAAGCAATGAG